TTTTTTTTTTCTTTAAAATCCATGACGTGAGTTACCGTGGGCGGCTAAAGCCAATGGGGGCCCGTGTTCGACGTAGTGTTAGTGTAATCGAGGGGTGTCGTGTGCTGCCTACAACCAACGGAGTAGGAGGTAGTGTGCTGGTCGATCAGTGTCGTCTCAATGGTCATCGAATCCTGGAAAGGTGTCGTCGGCAGTGACGCCGCATTCTGTCTCTTGATGGCGGACAATACCTCGCGCAGCTGGCTCACCTGAGAGCAAGTCAGGTCAGGAGGGCACCACGTGTCTCTCTCTCTCTCTCTCTCTCTCTCCCTCTCTCTCTCACACTCATACACACACACAGGAAATCCTCGCCGATATATACGATATATTTTCTATGCGTTAACACTCTCTCGCTCGAAATGAATACATATACATATATATATATATATAAAATATATAATCAAATACGTAGGAAAACAAACAGCCAATTCGCGGGATTGGATTAAAAGTAAAAAGGATAAAGCGACAAAGAATTTTGGACGGGTTGGAGGAAGAAGAAAAAGGAGGAGAAACGAGATTACAAAGGGAGAGGGATCAACGAATCGATTCGAACGAACGCGGTCGGCCGAGCAAGTTCGAGTTGCGAGTATGAGGGCACAGAGAAGCACAACGAACGTCAAACAGCCATAGTATATATAATAATAATAATAATAATAATAATAATAATCGTGATATCACGATCAAACAAGAGAGACGAACATACCTGGGCGGCGAGTTGTCGCAGCCTTTCCGACTCCTCCACCGTCGCATCCCGCCTAGCCGCAACCTTGACCTGTGCAACGTCCCCGTAAAACGACTCGGATCTCGGCGAGAAAGCCATGGTCAGCTGGTGCAACTCTTGCAGGGAATTCGAACAGGCGCGGTAACAAGCGACTCCGCACACCTCCCATTGTTCTGGGGTGAGGAGGGGGCCGCTGCTCACCAGGACGTGCCTGCGCAAAACCAAATCGCGTGGCGTCGCCCGCCTTAAGAAAAGAATATATCCGTACGCGGCCGAATATATTTATACGCGTCGATTGTAATGGAAAAATGGGAGGAAAGGATGGATCGAGAGAAAAAAAAAAAAGGAAATGGGTTGGCAGGCAAGAGAATGGTGGGTGCCACTCTAAGATTTCAGATCGGGATCCCGTTGGTCGTTCAGCCTATGCAGCCTATCTGCCCGCGAACCTGTCCCGTTTTTAAACTCCGCGCACGCCTGTACATCGATACTCGCCGATCGACCCCGGCCCGGGATTGAATTACACACGCGGCCGTCCATGTGTGTGCGCGCCGTGCAGTTTAATATGGAGAAAACGGACGAGAAAACGGGGCCCGCGCGGGCCGAAGTCGGAGGAGGAGGAGGAGGACGGAGGACGGAGGCCGAGATGCAGGCGGCTCCGTGCGAGTCGCTCGGCACGACGACGCTCCTCGGGGGTGTCGAGTGTCGGTGGCTACCTTATCCCACCGGACAGCCTGTCAAGCTTCGTTATCATCTTACACGCACGCTACGCCCGTGCACGACCAATATATATATATATATATATATATATATCTAAACCTCCGTCGATGGACATTCCAACGTTACCTCCGCGTTATGATTCACCTTTTCTCTCTCTCTATCTGCGAATTTTCGCTCTCTCGATTCCGGAAATTTTTCCTATATTTCTTTCGATTCCTTCCCTTCTCGTCATCCTTCTCCTTTAAGGAGGAGGAGGAGGAGGAGGATGGATTCGCCTTGTTGGCGAATCGGTGATCTTAATTCGATAATGAGTCATCGGTGTTCGAAGAAAGAGAGAGGGCTTTGACTTCGTTAACGGATGCGTTGGAAACTCTGCAAGGAGTTGTCGAACTTTTGCTTCGAGGTGTTGGCACCACTGACTTTCCCTTACTTACCTAATACAGGCGCAACCTAGACGAGCTATGCTCTCGGTGGGTTGGACGACGCATTCGGCCATCACTAGTAACAATTGCTTCAACATCAGGGTCGTGGCCGATAGGTAGGCGTCGTTTCGAACGACGTCCGCTCCTAAAAATTTCGATCCGAATTTATTTCTATATCTACTCGAGGATCTTTTCGAGGCGAGAGCATTTCTTTTCTTTTTCGTTTCTTTCTTCAATCACCTTGCAAGTGCGTCAAGTAATCGACAACGAGATCCGTAGTGAGGCCGCAGCACTGTTTAAAATTAGGCGCAAAGTTGTCCCAACCCCTGAATATCTTGGACGTCCTTCTCAACCAATTCTGGACCATGGGCAGAAGCAGATGGTTGACGCAGTACAATCCAAACGTCGGCCCGGGAACGTTTAGAGTGTCTCTCAACAGATGGAACAAGGTCTCCAACGTGTGAGGTTGATAACGTTTCGGGCAGATCATGGTGGCGCTCGCCAAACCCTCGATCAGAATGTACCAGACTCTCAGTATACCGCTCGGCTTGTCCATGCTTTGCAGCGTGGTGATCGCTTGGTGCACGTTGTCCATCAAGACGTCGTGCGGCCTCTCGGGGATCGTTTCCTGCATCGACTCGGCGTGTTTGTCGAATCTGATCAATTCCGAGTTGGGTATCGTCGGGTCGACGTATTGCGGTATGGTCGAGACCTGGATCCTCTGGGCCGAGTGGAAGATGGGGCAGGCCGGCATACCGTACATGGAAGCGAGGATGTCGCTGCAACTGAGAAGATACTTGAGACTCTCGACGCAAAGCCTCATCCGTCGGGATTCGACCGCGTCGATCTGATCCTGCTCGTCCTGGTGGCCGTCCGCGTCGCCGATACCGCGCACGTGCTTCAACAGGCAGAGAATGCAATCTAGCGCCGCGTTTGCGAACACCAACGTGTTGTCCGTGGATAGAAACACCCTGAACACCTCGAGAAGGGGGGCGGACTCGACGGAATCTGAATTACCGACCGAAGCTACGCGTAGCGCGCCGAACAGAGGTCGCCAACCGGATCGTATCTCGGTCCTGTTGGTCTCCACGAACTCGCAGATGCAGCTGACGATCTGGAAGGGATTCGCAACCGCTTTTTTGGATCGATTCGACGAGTTGGACGCGACGGATTCCGCTCGGACTCACTTGATCTTGGACGTCGCTGTCGCAAAGTTCCAGACACAATAGGTTCTCGAAAGGTTTGAACAGCGCCTCGTTGAAGTGGAAGTGGGGTAATTCCATTTGCTCGTTCAACAAAGCCGCCATCGAGTCGTGAATGCATTGTACCGCCTTCTTCGAAATGCCACGGTCCTTGTGGCAAGCCGCCTCCATAAAGTGGGGCCCCAGGATACTCCAAACCTGAAAGAATTCCAATTTAATCCTTCTGTTCTCGGGAGAACTCGAAGGGGAGTCTCGTCTCTCTCTCTCTTCTCTCTCTCTCTCTCTCTCGTCTCTATCTCTCTCTCTCCCTCACTCACTTCCTTCCTCTCACTCTCACCCTCATTATATGGATCAGAGGTCTTCCACTCTTCACGCACTTCAACATCACTTCCCCCAATCGAGCCAGAAGAAGCACGTTCATTTCGTTCTCTCTCGGCTTACTCCTTCTCCACCAGAATCTCTTATTGTCTTTGGATCCGTCCGTGGTCTTGAACAACTGGGCTTTGCTCGCCTTGCAGAGCGCGGTCAGGAACAAGCATAACGCTTTAAGGTTCAATTTCAACGCCGCGTTCTCGAACAATCTGTCCACTTGTTGGGATAAAACGCAGATGATCTTTGCCGCGTAGTCGGCGGGAAGGATCCCGTTGAATTGGCCGTCCGCGTTCGACTCTTGAATTATCTCTGGAATCGTGTCCGTGCTAGAATTGTGGGTATACGGACTGGATAGGAAACTATATACGTCCACGCTGAAACGATTTTTAATTTTTTTTTTCTTTTTTTTCTTTTTTTTTTCGATAATAAATCATTATTACATCCATCGAGTATTAATTTTTTCGCGGATGGCGTTTTACCAAGTTTCTTCCTCTTCGATTATGTTGAAGTTGAGCTTCAATCTGTCCTGACTCCCCGCTTTCGGATCCCCGCTCGTGTTCTCCTTCTTGTCTTTCTTCTGCTGGCTGCTTTTCGGCAACGACGGATTTTGATTTCTCCCGAAGAAATCGTGTTCCAATTTGCTCACGTACAAACAGCACCTTTTAGTGAAAAAAAAAAAAAAAAAAAAAGAAAAACACTCGTGTTGTTGTTGATTCGAGAAGACGGATAAAAAAAAATCGGATCGGATAATAATCGTGAAAACAATCGTACGTGAAAACGTGGGGCCAGCAATCGCTTCCGTGACTTCCGAGCTCTAAACCTTTGCCCAAAAGTACGTCCATGCTCAACGCGTGTGACGTGTGAATATTGGTCGCTCTGTTTTGCAATTTCAACCGTAGAACGTCCTTCGTCCTCGTGATCTTCGAGATAGACTGCTCCGTGCATGCAGCTTTCACCAGCAGGGCAAATATGGAACCGCATCGATTCTGCAGACCTGAATGAAAGAAAGAAAGAAAAGAAATCGGTCAAAAGCATCGGTCGTGATAAAATACGCGATATTTCGTTGGCGCTATATATGGCCGACCAAGTATATTGCTGAGAATCGCAGCCTTGTGAAGGCCTTCCAATGACAGGATCACGGTGTCTCTCACGCCTCGTCTACCACCGTCTCTGCTGAGAATCCCCTTGTTGTTCTGCTCCTTGGGAGGATTCAACCCGGTTGTCAAAACGGTCATCATACTTCCCCAACAGCACGTCAATACTCTTCTCGACAATTTGGCGCCCGCTTCCGCTTCCGGGGTCGGCTCGCTTCGAGACAACTGAGCTTTCTCCAATCTTATGTAGTCGGACAAAAGCTGCCCGCCTCTCTGACTTCCAGGAATCCCGTCGACATCTTAAACGAGACACCTCTATCGTCAATGAAATCCTTGGACCATGCCGAGAGAATTGGACAATTTGCTTACCGGTTAACACGTTTATCAGGGCGCTGTTCTCCGTGTAGTGTGGATTGTAACCGCACTTTTCGAGCAGATTGCAGGCCAAAACTTGTTGATACAGCTCGGACAACCAGGTCGCCGAGAGATATACCAGAACTCCGGATCCGTGTACCTCCTCTACGAATTGTTCCTAAAAAGAAGAAAAGAAGAAGAAGAAAAAAGAAGAAAAGACGAAAGAAAGGCGTAAAAAAAAAAAAAAAGAAAAGGAAAGTCGATCGAGATGGATACCTCGCTTATGGGAACTTGACGATTATCCTCGTGGTAATAATTGATCCTGATCAACTTCAAGTTGAGCAGCAAAGCGGCGTATGTTGCGAGATAAATCCCGTCGGCGTTCATTATAGTGATCAAGGCGCACGAGTCCGTGCTCGTGTCCGTCTGCTCCTGCATCCTCTGTTGGGCTGTGAAAACACCTGTGAAAATTACGGGACAAGTTTCGAGTGGAGGAAAGAGATGATATCTGTACATATCTGGAACAATCTCGTGGTGGCAATGGTCGTACCCTGGCAATATTCCGAGGCGAAGTTCTGCAGAGCCTCGTCCACCTCTATATTGCTTCTCAGCAACAAGACCATCGGTATGAGATCGCTCTTCAACGTCCTCACGAATTTCCTCGCGTTGTGCCTCTCCATGTCCACGTTGCACTCGTCGGCCACCTGACGGCCCACGTGAAGGCATTTCGGCAGTTTCTCCAATCTCAATCTTTCCCTCTCGTTCTCTATCGCGTAGTCGTTGTCCTCCAGGCTGTTCTCCTCTTGGATCTCGTCGGATTCGTTCTGAGGGCCCTCGGTATCCGTCGAGTCCCCATCCTCGGACGGGCCGTGCCCCGACGAGTCGGAATCCGACCCTATCCCCTTTTTCATCAGCTCCAATTGCTCTCTGAAATTAAGTATTTTTACATATTTTTGTGGTAACGATACGATACTCCATCAGTGGTATTTATTTACACTGTTTCCACTTGTTTTCACTCGATCGGTTAAAACTCACCTGTAGGTTTTTGGCAACCGTGCCATACTCTGGTAGGTCAGAGGTCCCTTGTAGTCGCAAGACTCCAAATCCTCGTACAAGCTGTTGATCGTGCACGTGTACGTGTGATTAATGGCCTTCCCCTCGCACAATTCCTGAAGCGCGGAGAGCATCGCGACCACGCACGAGACGCTCGCGTGCAACGTGCTCAAACCGCCGGTCGTCGACTCCTCGATCGAGTCCATCGCTCTGTCGTCAAATCGTTCCCATCAATTCCCTCCTGTCCTGTTAGCCCTCAAATTAACCCTTTCGCTACTGCGGACGATCATAATCGCTCCGCATAAGATGCTAGTGAGATACCATGAGATAGGTGACTATAGTCGCTCTGCCATTGACATATTACGATCGATTATAGTCGCTCTGCACAAGATGCTACTGAAATATTACAAACGACTACAATTGCTCTGTGCCATTCAAGTATTACGGCTATAATTGCTCTGCATAAGATGCCACTGAAGTCTTACAGGCGACTATAATTGCTCTGCATAAGATGCCACTGAAGTATTATAGGTGACTATAATTTTGTATCAATGTATATAATATTGACTATAATATGTTCTGCATAAGGTGCCACTGAAGTATTATAGGTGACTATAATTTTGTATCAATATATATAATATTGACTATAATATGTTCTGCATAAGGTGCCACTGAAATATTATAGGTGACTATAATTTTGTATCAATATATATAATATTGACTATAATATGTTCTGCATAAAGTGCCACTGAAGTATTATAGGTGACTATAATTTTGTATCAATATATATAATATTGACTATAATATGTTCTGCATAAGGTGCTACTGAAGTATTATAGGTGACTATAATTTTGTATCAATATATATATAATATTGATTATAATATGTTCTGCATAAGATGTCACTGAAGTATTATAGACGACTATAATTGCTCTGTGTCACTGAAGTATTATAGATGACTATAATTGTTTTGCATAAAGTGTCACTGAAATATTACAGACGATTATAATTGTTTTGCATAAAGTGCCATTGAATTATTACAGGCAATTATCTTATTTGCATAAGATGCCATTGAGATACCACGGATGACTATAATCGCTCTGCACCGTGTATCGTACGATGTGACAAGCGATTATTGCATTTTCTTTGGAAACGTAGCATCGATATTTTTATGAGCAATTTTTTTTTCAATAAACATCATCGAAGCAACTCGAATTGAAATGAAACGTTGCAGCGGCCGCTGACGATCTTTCTCGAGCACCGTGTGCATTTTGCAGCGGCGGTTTATTTATATTATGGAGGAAAGTAGCGAAAGGGTTAAAGGATGGATAATTTTTGGCTTACAGTCTCATCAAAGCCATGTCGCTCTGAACGTGGCTGGATTTATCCTCTTCCACCAGCAAGGGGCCGGCAAAGTCCACCATTCGGCTCGGGCTTCGTAAAAGTTCCTTCAAAGCTTTCAAAGGTTCTAAGCGTTGCTGGGGCGGAGGATAGAGCAACATCCTGTGGAACACCGATTCTAGGACAGGGCGAAGGGGGCCCACGCATCCTACCAATCGAACCAACTCCGTCCCGATACTGTTGGGAAAAGAAAAAGAGAACAAAGAATCGAATTTTGCAAAATTCGATCGATGACACGATTTACAATGTTTGCACTCTTTGCACTCGTGTTCACAATTAAGAAGGTTATCAATCAACTCGGAATTATTTTTCATATTCGATCGAAACTTAACTTGCCGTTTTAATAGAAAGAATTTGAAAAGTATGCAAATTTTTATCCGCATCTCAACCCTTCGATATATATATAATATTGATTATAATATGTTCTGCATAAGATGTCACTGAAGTATTATAGACGACTATAATTGCTCTGTGTCACTGAAGTATTATAGATGACTATAATTGTTTTGCATAAAGTGTCACTGAAATATTACAGACGATTATAATTGTTTTGCATAAAGTGCCATTGAATTATTACAGGCAATTATCTTATTTGCATAAGATGCCATTGAGATACCACGGATGACTATAATCGCTCTGCACCGTGTATCGTACGATGTGACAAGCGATTATTGCATTTTCTTTGGAAACGTAGCATCGATATTTTTATGAGCAATTTTTTTTTCAATAACATCATCGAAGCAACTCGAATTGAAATGAAACGTTGCAGCGGCCGCTGACGATCTTTCTCGAGCACCGTGTGCATTTTGCAGCGGCGGTTTATTTATATTATGGAGGAAAGTAGCGAAAGGGTTAAAGGATGGATAATTTTTGGCTTACAGTCTCATCAAAGCCATGTCGCTCTGAACGTGGCTGGATTTATCCTCTTCCACCAGCAAGGGGCCGGCAAAGTCCACCATTCGGCTCGGGCTTCGTAAAAGTTCCTTCAAAGCTTTCAAAGGTTCTAAGCGTTGCTGGGGCGGAGGATAGAGCAACATCCTGTGGAACACCGATTCTAGGACAGGGCGAAGGGGGCCCACGCATCCTACCAATCGAACCAACTCCGTCCCGATACTGTTGGGAAAAGAAAAAGAGAACAAAGAATCGAATTTTGCAAAATTCGATCGATGACACGATTTACAATGTTTGCACTCTTTGCACTCGTGTTCACAATTAAGAAGGTTATCAATCAACTCGGAATTATTTTTCATATTCGATCGAAACTTAACTTGCCGTTTTAATAGAAAGAATTTGAAAAGTATGCAAATTTTTATCCGCATCTCAACCCTTCGATCGGTGAAAATTTATACAATATGTGTATATATATTTTGATTTTTCAAAATTTTCATAAAATAAGTAAAACTAATTTCTTGGTAAGAACACGTAGGAATGCACAGGAATAAACGCTCCAATATTCCTCTCAAAAACATAAACAAATCTTGTATTACGATAAAATTTATAAAAAAACTGTGAAAGAGCAAAAAAGTAAAAATGATACAAGTAACATTGAAAAAATTACATTTTATAGTTCTCCATCGCGCAATATCCAACAAAACAATACCCAATATGTAATCTTGGATGTCTGCCATTCGTCGACTATATTTGTGATTTAAAATTATTTTTAAGATTTTTCTTTTTCTACAAATAAATAATCTCGAGAAAAGAAATCAACAGCGACACACGAGTGCAGCTTGGTAAAATCATCGCCCACCTGTAAACAGTCTTTGCCTGGTGACTGTCGAAGCTCAAAGACGTGGCCAAGTATCCGGACCCTCTCCCGATCTCGTTCTCCTTTCCCTCCCTCGAGGTGAAGGTCTTGTCGACCCTTGGCGTGCCCAGGAAAGCGATCAACGCGGGGCAAAACTTTTGCCAGAGAAAGGTGGTGAAATGGCCGTTCGTGTGAATCTTCTGGGGCAGGGACGAGATCAAAGTGTGCAGACACTCCAACAGGAACACGACCGTGTTCCCGTTCCTTCCGTTGCTGGGACAAGATTTTCTAAAGTTACGTGTACCTTGTTTTTTTTTTTTTTAAGGAAAGACGCATCTCTTACTTCCTCTCTTCTCGATTCTTACTTTTGAGCCTCGTCCAACTTGCTGCAGATGTACTGAAGTATAGGCAGAGCTTCATTGAAGCAGGAGACGCCTCTCTCCCACAAGTTTTTATTCTTCTTCGCGTTCTCGTCCATCTCCTGGCATTCCTCGTCTGACAAAATTCCCGAATTTTTTTTTTATAAACTTTTAAAACGGCTCGAGCCGAATTTATTCGTTTATTACACGCGAGGCCAAGATTTATCGATCAAACCTTCGTTTCGACGAAATTCCGTGACCGCGGAGTAATAACGGAGAGATAACGAAGAGAAAAGGAATCACCTACCTAGGAACAAGCAAAACGATCGCAACGTTTGACTGGTTGCAGCTTGGGCCGCGGTCCTCACAGCTTGATTCCCGTTTTCGAAAGCCTCGCAGCAGGTAGTGAGAATGGCGATTATTAAACGACCGTTCATTGTCCAATAAGAGGAGCAGGCCACTTGTAACAGAACCTAAAATATAAGATCAGAAATATAATTAATTGGTTTGAATTAATTTCGTGGAGAATTTTTTTTGTTATTTCCAATTGAAGAATTGGATGCTCACTTTCAGCATGTCCGTCTGCGTGTCGTCCGATTGTGATAACATGGAACTCATCGCGTGCAACATTTGTGCGGGTAGCCAGAGAGAATCGTCTTCTGGCTCGTACGGTGACTGGAATCTGTCATCCCTTAACATTTTCTGAATCCAACGAAACGAATTATATATATGGATAATTTATAGAATAATACGAATCGAAGGGAAAGGTCTTTTTTTTTGACGAAATTTCGAATTTGAAAATCGATCGTTCAAGAAAGAGAGAAATAAAACGTAAGAGTATCGATTTTGAGATAGACGCACAGACACGTCGAATCTTTGCAACCTTTAGCGCTTCGATACAACTTGGTCGTCTCGATATCTTTCGTTATCGCGAAGTTCGTTCCCAACAGCGGATGTGTCATTTACATGTACCGCGATATCGAAAAAAGTGGCGCAATATGGGTAGGAAAAAAAGATAGAAAGAAAAAGTAATATTCGATGAAACGCTCACGTGTAATCCCGATAGGCCAAAGGCAACGAATTTGCTCCTCTTCGTTTCCAATGCTAGCTGAAAGGCGTGTAGACATTTTGCTCGCAGCTCGTGGGGTGGATCGCGTAACAATCCTTGCTGTTTGTCCAGGAAGTCTGCAAAGAAAAGGGTAAATTCGGGAAATAAAATATCCTTCGCGATTAATTACGAGTTTCGAGTTGTATTAAATGCAAGTTTCTTATTATTTCTCAATACGGAACGGAAGAAATTGTAATCGATTAGAATGTAATGGTGGTGGGTGGTGATGTATTAATAATCCAAAGTGTGTACGAAATAGGGACAAGTGTCGAAGTTCAATGGAATAAAAAGCGTGTAAATAATAAGGATAATCTTTTGAATCGACTCACCGTACGCTTCCTGCGCTGATTTCCGCAAATTTTGTAATTTTGCATTGCTCGATTCTCGGACGATCTGCAGCAGGAGATCCTCCATGTCACGGTGGACTAACACGCGACTGATCGATAACGGGAGTGCACGCTTGGCTGTACGCGCGCATCCAGGGCCGTACAAACTGTTTCAGAGTCAAATTTATTTCCCACTTATCGATGATTAAACGGCTATTCGAATTCTCAGTATTTTAACGTGTTAAATTAATAATTCGACGATTGTCAAAATTTACAATTTTTTTTTTTTTTTTGAAAAATAAATTACACTTTGAATTACGCGTGAAATTGTTCGTACAATTATCGAGAAAATATTTTGCGTTTTATAAATGAATCGTGTTTATAGTGCAACACTTACCATCGTCATTTTATAATCTTTTTAAAAAGTTGACATAAAATTTCATGTTTTCACGAAATGTAACCTTTTTCACGGAAAAATCAATCAAATTCAAATAGATTTTTCGATTGATCGAAAAGTCAATTTTCAAACCGCACGAACGATGGCGGGTGGCGCGCAAATAGCTGCGATCACGTGACTGCTTCACTTGGCTTCCAAAGATGGCGGCGGAAAGTGACAAGAAGCATAAAAGTGTCGAAAAATTGTGCCGTAAACGAGTGACTTTCTACGAATTAGCTGTGGATCTCATAGGTACAAGCCTCCTCGCGAAAGAAGAAGGCTAATTGTGTGGTTTCCTGTCAGTGTTATCATAAAATCATCTCGTCTCCCGTGACAGGTTTGGCATTTGGCTTGTTTCATCATTGGCATGTGTCTACGCTATTCGAAAATGACCGGCATTTCTCGCATCTGTCCGAAATCGAGAGAGAAATGTCTTTTCGCACGGAAATGGTACGAGTTTCGAATGATATCGGCAAATTGACGAAATATTCGTGGAGTATAACCAGGTATGTTTTGTTTATTCTCTGTTCAGGGGATGTATTACTCTTATTACAAGACGATCGCGGAATCGAAAACATTTATGGACGGGCTGAGAAAAATTAGCCACGATAATATTTCGGAATATGGGAACGTTATCAACGCGGCTAGAAAATATAGCTTGCTACCAGAGGTATTGTATCCTATGACGTTACAGTTATTTTGGTTAGGTTATTGAACACAACACAACAAAGATTGAAATGTATGTAAGACAGAATTGATCATTTACAGTTAGTGGCTGGATATCTTTATCATTGTGCCAAGAATTTGGGGCTTATATCTATAGAGCAGTGTTGGCAAGTGAGATTCATTTTCGTTAGATTTGTATACAGAGTCGACAGATTTTATTTAATATTTATTCAAGGATCTTTATAGATCTTTACAGACTCTGTATGCATAAAGCAATGCAATGTGAGTATCACTTCTTATGGGAGAACTAGAAAAGAATCACTTTCAGATAGAAAGAGGAGAAGGTTTGTCACCGGTAACCAGTTGCGAGGGTCTAGGCGTCCCAGTTTATTTTTATTTGGAAATTGTTTGGACTTCCACTATACTTACAGTAGCTATACTATTCTATTATGCCACTTTCCTTGGCAATAGCCTGTACAGTGGATTCATAGCAGTGCTTCTCTTCTTTTATAACCATAATGAATGTACACGTGTTCAATGGTCTCCACCGTTGAGAGAAAGTTTCGCTTACCCCGTGTTACTATGTCAAATGTACACGTTGACTCTGATTCTTAGAGAGGGTACTCAACAGAGCAAGCAAAAAATACCAAAAGACTTACTCCAGGTGTGTTGAGACTTATGTTCAAACGAGTTGGAATATTTTTGCACAAAAGTAACAAGAAATTTCATTCTTTTCAGAAAATGGGCATGGCAACGATAATTAGTTTATGTTGTTGGCAATTTTCGCATTTCGTATTCATCACGCAAATCGTTGCCCTTTTAATATTAAAATGGATGAAAATAATTTCGAACGATCTTTACAGATCTATTTCTAAAGTTCACGGTTGGTCCATCGTGATAGCAATGGGTATCACCGACAGTTTCCCCTTGCTTTTCTCCATGTACTTGTGTCTTTTGCTCGTCAGCAACGCTTTGAACGTAACCGAGAAATTGACCAATTTTATCGGCTCAAAACTACAAACGATCCTCGAAATAGTTTCCACGATTTTGTGCACGGTATACTTAAAGTCAATCTACGCCTTGTTATACGAAGACACGGCGCACGTGTTCAATTTACTTAAAACGAAACTGATCGGTTACAAAGATTTTCACACGATGCTGTACACGTGCTCCCCGGAATTCGATTTCCTCCAATACAGAAGCTACGAGGCGATCGTAAAAACGTTACTTCTACCGTCTGCCATTCTCGCCGGAATGCTGGTGATCTATTTTTGGTACAGGAATTACAAAATCAAAGGGTACCCTAAATGCATAGAAGCGGATCTCGCGTACAACGGACTACAGACCGGAGCCTTCATTATCATGGCCGTTTTTATCATGAGATTGAAACTGTTCATGAATCCTCATCTCTGTATAATAGCCGGCACGATATGCGCGAACAGATATCTGGAGAAACTTGGTATAAAGAGAAAGATAATCAAGACTGCCATTATAATTCTATTGATATCCGCGATATCTTACCACGGATTAGAAATATTGCAAGAAGAGCGAAGCGTTATGGGTAACTATATTACAGTAAAGAAGAAAAAAAAAAAAGAAAAAAATTCAGTATTAAATAAATCTGTTTATTGCTTGATCTTTTTCAATGATGGCGTAATCAAGGTGAATACAGCGACATCGAGCAAGAAGAACTATTCGAGTGGATCAAAAAGAATACACCTGAACACGCTGTGTTTGCCGGGAAGATGTCTTTGATGGCAAACTTAATGCTCTCGACGGGAAGGCCGATCGTCAATAACCCTTACTACGAGAGCAAAGAGATGAGGTGCATAAGCTTGCTATCCCCTGGATCGTAACGTCGCATATAGGATATCAGTTTTGATATTTATTATCTTATGGTTTTCCAGAGATCGGACTATGAAAGTTTACGAAGTGTTCAGCAGAAAAGACGTCACATCCGTATACGTGACACTTAGGAACTTACAGGTCGGATACGTCATTCTAGAGGCATCGATGTGCTTTGGCTACGCAAATTTGTAATGAAATATTTTAATCAACAAATTAATCGTGAGATAAATTAACATATATTTTTGTAAACGTTGCACACAGGTTAGAATTTTGCATTTCAGACCATCGCAATGCCAAATGATCGACTTGTGGGATCTTGTGGACAACGGAGTGGCGAAGGCTGCTGGAAAGCAACCCGTGTGCCCGATGCTGTTTCGAGGAAACGCTTACCCTTCAAACGATCGTTCGTAAATAATCGTTACGTTGTTCTGCAGCTTGATTATTCTTACTGCGTGGAATTGAAACCGAACAATTCCCTTAATTACCAATCTTAAATGGTAATTGTGATCGAATATGTGACAAATCGAAAATACCTCGCCGAAATTGCAGAGAATATTTTTCCCAACAGAGAGGCAATTATGTATAATACTTATATATATATACATATATATATATTTTTTTTTTAAAGAACAATGACTCGTTGAGACGAGCCAAAGTAATTTTGTTAGAACTAAAAATGCGAATAAAAATGTTAACTACGTTCCTGTAAAATCCATATCTTCGTTTTCCTGCGTTCCTGCTTCTTCCCGCATCTCGTTTACGTTTCGTCGAGAAGCAATGCGATTCAAACTTCAAAGTGCTGCCCTCACGTAAGACGAAACTTTTTGCTTTATATAACTTGGCACGAATAAAGGAGCCGCAACGAGAATACTCCGTCTCTCGTAGCATGGTTATAACATCGTCTATATTACGGTAAAATTTGTCCCTTTTTTTTTTTTTTCTTTTCTTCCTTTATCTCTTTCCATGAAAATTGGTCGAATTTCACGAGACAGTTATTAGCGCGAGAAACGACTCGGGAGAGTATCGTCACGGGATCGCAAGAAGAATCGAACCACGCCGCGAAGATAGCTCCGTTATAGTACAACACACGGCACTGCACCTTCACTTCGCCGTGTAACAGATAGTATAGTCTTGCCTTCTCGCTATACTACGTTGTGCTGCTGACCCAAATGAATCCAATGGGCAGTCAGTCCTGGTCCGGGCTTCTTCGCGGCGATATTGCTCGCTCGTTCACAGCTGGCATCGTGTAAAATCGCGATACGTCTTTTCGTTACGACACTTGCAAAAAAAAATACCAGTTTACCAGCAATACATGTGCATTGGCAATCGATCGTGGATTTCGTGGTAGATAATTCGCGATTTAATCGAAAAACCTCGGTGCCCATATTGCAGCGTGGTCCCGGTGATCGCCCAGTGAAATTCTAAGGGCACCTTAAACAGTGAAAGTTGCGGACCAATTAATATATATATATACACACACACACACACACACACACATATATATATATATATATAACTAAGACGGTGATTGTCTT